GTTAGATGTGTCCTTTTTTTTTTGAGCACCTGCCCCTTTAGTGGTCTCTGCACGGCCCTGTGGTTGAAACCTGGAAGTTGATATTTGGTGCTTGGACGGATACGCTTCGCCTTTCCCTCAAACTTGAAAATGTTCATTCTGGCCCAGAAGTCTTGTCGTTCGTTCGGACGCAGCTACGACGTTGCGCCGCCACATTTCGTGTAGAGAGAAGCTAACCTTGTAAAACATGCTATCGTTCTTCAGTCGCTCTTGAAGTGTACTACAACGAACTTGTACATTTACTCAAAAATGCCCCCACCAAAACAACATCAACAAAAAAAACCAGGATTGATTTTCTTGTAATTCCCGACTTATCTGTGCTGACCTTACGGTTAATTTGTCAGGACACGTCTTCCTCTAAAGGTTGTCGGCAACTTTGAAAGGTTTCCGCTTGCAAATAACATTTCTGCTGTCAAACCTTCTTAAACATTGACGGGTCGAAACAAATAAGGTCACTGCTAACGTCGGACCACCTTGGTGTTGCGTTAGCCGACACTCTGATGAAGTTTATACATTGAGAAAAAAAAAGTTTAATCTGAAAAAAATGTCTTCTCCAATCAGGATGTTGCCAACATGTTGGTCAAGTTGATACTTTCTTTTTCTTACTAGTGTTCATTTTGTCTCCAGTTTGCTTCCACTCATCCTTTCACTCCTCTCCTCTCTTCTGCCCTCTCCATCCGTCTGGCCCGATCTCATTCTGCTTTACTCACTCCCTCTCTCATGTTTATTTCAAAGGGACCCTCCAGCATCTCAGAATAAATAAATTATACATTTCATTATGCAGTCGTTCCAAAGCTCCTTTCAGGAAGGGGATTGCGCTCGTTTGTCCGTGAGCTTCTGTTTATCCTAAACGACGGCATCAGACATGATCACGATCATCTGGGAGCCCCTGGTTGTCCGTGCTCGTTTTTTTTCTTCGTGTACCAAACCTAATTTCCCCCCACAAAGTTCACATTCCCGCTTTTCCAGCGCCGCTGCTGGGGCGCCGCTCCCGGGATTAGATTTGGCAAGCGAGGCAGCGAAACTGCGTGGATGCGCACACCGAAGCAATGCTAACATAAATTACATCCACGTTCGGTGCCAGTCAAAGCGATTTTGTGTTTGCTTGTTTCAAAGCTCTGAGATGATAATGTTTTTAAAACGTTATTAGTTTGATTTTTTTTTGTTCCCCACCCCCCCATTTCCGAAAATCAGCTCTTCGTATCGAGAGCAAATCTAATTCTGCTTTTGTGAGTCACTTTCTCTCTACACACAGCCGTTGCAGCCGAGCGCCCCGCTCCTCCTGGCTCGTGATCGCATTCATGCATTTTTGTCTGCGCGTGCTGCTGGGCCAGCTTGATGGACCATGTGCGATAATGAACCGCATCTCACCAATTGACGTTAGTAATGTATTATTCTTGGCCCCGGCGCCGCAGCCAAGCAGCTCCCGCTGAGGGTCAGCTTGACCTGTGGTGTCGGTTCTGCCCCGGGTCACAGAACAGTCTGAAACGACTCCGTTTGGTTATGATGGAAAAAGTGAGCGGAAATGAGAGAGAGAGAAAAAAAAAAACGATTCGGTTCACCTGAACAATCCCACAAGGGATCCTACGGTGCGTAAAACCATATCCGTTTTAACGTGCACACACGTATCTGTTCACGTAGACAATGCCAGTAAAGTGCTTGGACACAATCTCCGACGCATATGGGCCGCCTCAGCCATCTGTCCCAAACTGGACGTGCCAGGCTCTGCTCGGTGGCTCTCCTCTCCCTCTTTCTTCATTGGATCACAGTGCTGCTCCTCTGCAGTGCTAAGTATTTGGTACATGAACTGTGGTAACCCTATGTGAACACACACTTGTCAGGAGACACTTCACTTAAAGTCATTAAGTTTAAACTTGGTGGTGATGCCAAATAGGTGGCGGCAACACGCTTCACCTGCATTGGCCTCTCTGGGGAAAGGGGACAAAAAGCTTAAAAATGAATGCATGTTTTCTGAAGTAGCCTTTCAGATATCTACATATTTTCCATCTGCAATGATCACATAGCAGCCTAGCCAGCGCCTTCCTATGCAGCTCTCTGGTAGATTTCCTACCAGGCCAATCAGCGAACAGAAGGAGAAGTTGTGAACGGTGACGGAGATTTTCTGTGCTGTTTTAGGAATGTTGTTTTCCTGTACCTTTAGCAATGGCAGTGGAGGAAGTGAACAAAGGTGTTCCTGCAGTGTTGGCCACGGTTCCAAATATTGAATTAACATTAACAGCTGCCTCGTTCGGATCAGCACTTCTGTCTACGGTTGTTTACAACGCAGGCTATTTCTGGTAAGCTTCATAGCGTCGAACTGGCACATTACATACATCTCGTCCAATCGTTAGTGACTGGGCCAAATTTAAAACTTCAACACAGTCCACACCTCCAGGAAGTGATCGTTTCACAACAACCTAGAGAAACAAAAACCTCCTGAAGCTAATTGGTGTAGGACACAGGTCTGGTTTTTACCAGGCTAGTCAAGCAGGGAAAACTTTAGTTTTTGCATAAAATCATCTACTAGAGTTATTGGCATCCCTGATATCAATAATTTGTCAAATCTCTATTTGCCAGTGCGACATTAGTCTTCTTCTGTAAAGTTTCATGAGGCCACAGCATGCAGTGAGAGGAATCCTTGAATGCTCCTCTTAGATGTGTTTGAGGAGGAGGGAGAAACAGTGAGACAAGCGTTCTGGTGCCTTTTCCAAGTATGTTGTTAAATTGTACGCTTTATTAATTTGTCCCAAAATGTTCCAGCTCCCGTTCCGACGGAGCCAAAGTTTTCTGGGTAGTTGCTCCAGCGATTTCTCAGGAAGAATATGAGTCATCGACTGCAGAGCAGAAGTCCTCCCCACAGGGGAGCCAGTCTGTTAGTGACCGCGTTCCAAAGAGCTGAAAGGAGCACCTCAAAGGTCCAGCGCAATCCTCAGACATGTCACCTCGTCCAAAAACAGCAACATTTTCACTCCTCGCAAGTGTCTTCTCGGATAGAAATCAAGTGAGAAAACCCGAGTGGTGTTCTCCAGTTATTTGCTCTCTATCCAGTGCTGTGATTGCATAACTCCTTGTGCAAATTTCAAAGCACTCTTGTAGAACTGAATGGCATTGAGAGGATAGTGAAAAGGAGTAACAAGATGATGATGGTTTCATTGGTCTTTTTCGAACTGTAATACAAACGTTGTAAACATATGGATATGGGCTGCGACGGACAAGTCTAAACCTCAAAAGATTTCACTGACAATGTTTGAAAGTGTTGTCTCAGTCAAAACCTCTCGTTTCTCCATGATGCAAACCAAAAATACAAAAGACAGATTTGATTACCAATCGATTTTCTAAGTATTTCAGTTTGTACGTCTGACTTAGGAATATTTTAAATTGTTTTTAATTGTTTTATTTAGCTAAAGTCAGTCTAATGTATGCTCACGTCTTACCCAGTGGATCTGTGGCAAAAAAAAAGTCAAATTCCCTCGTGCAGAGATGGTTTTGGTTTGAAAAAACTAAGAGTACGAATCCAAATGTTTTGTGTAAGTTTATCCCAAATGAGAGATCAGTAATCAGACCTACAGTGACTTGTGAAAGGGTGTTTTTGTATTTTAATAAGGTGTATGGGGTCTTTGTGATATTTTTATCAAAGGAGCTTTTATTGCAAAGTGTTTGTTCTCGGCTCTTATGGACTCAAAATGTGAAAATATTAATACAATGACAGACCAGGAAGAAGAAAAAAAAATCTAATACTTGAAAACAGGCTTATGTGTAAAATTCTGATTATTTTAATCATAAAATGACAAAATCTTATTTAAACCGAAAATAAAACTCACAAGGAAACCTGAAAAGAGCAGTAATCAGTTTAGTCATCATGTTCTTTTCTTTATCTAACACCAGAACAGAACATGCCAGGTTTTCCCACCTTTGCAGAAGTAACAAGAACAAAACACCTTGTCACAAAGCTTCAGCCTGTTTTTCCCACCTATCTTGGGTTAGTGTCTCCTGACAGCATGCCGTTTTATGAAGCCGCTGGTTTCCTAAAGGAAAATAACATGCTAACCAACTTCAAAGCCTCAATTTAATAGATTAGATTATTTAACTTAACTTCTGATTTCATAATAATGTCCTACTCTACTGAACTATTTTCCACATGTACATGTCGTCGTTGGACTCGGTGCTTTATCATTAGCCATGCAGGTGCAACGTGTTACTTACCATTTTGTGCGTCGATACACTGCAGCAAGAGGTCCACTTTAAGCAGACTATGTAGCTAGAAGAGAAAATTCATCAGAAGATAACATTTATGCTTTCAGTAATTACAACATAAACACTTAGCAAGCAGCCATTTTGGATTTTGTGATTGGCGGAAATGTCAGATTTCTACCTCTATGGGTGTTAAAAGCTTTTTTCTAATTATACAACTTGACATTGCATGTGTTGTAAAATGGCGATATGTAAATAAAGTGAATTAAATTGAGATAATTTTCAGATTCAAAACTTCTCATCCTCTCAAATAATTCTTTACTATTTGAATTTGGACGATGTGCAGTATTATTTTTTCCATCACAAATAATATTCTGCACGTGCCTCAAATAACTCTACTTTGGTACCACCAACCGTAGGCTCCTTCCTCCACAAGTTTGGTGTGTACGCTATGTTGGCATGTAGAAAACCTGAAAACCTTGTGCCTTGTTTGGTGGAACCTTTTGTTTTTTGTAAATAATTTATATTGAATTCTATAAAACAATTGACACCAGCAGCATCTGGTCGCCAGCTGAGGCTTCGAGGCTTGACGCCATCAATCCCTTTTTGTATCTGTTCTATTCAGGAGCTATAAAAATGCTAATGACACCACATTCCAGCTCCTTGTGTTATTGACTTTTGGACTGTAGCAAAAAGTAAAGAAATAAAAGGAGACCTGGCTGGCTCACAGTTTTTCTTTCTTTCTTTCTTTTTTTTGGCTGAAAAATAGACTTATTTCAGAATTGTGAGGTTAAAAAAAAAAAATATATATATATATATATATATATATATATATATATATATATATATATATATATATATATATATATATATATATATATATATTCCCCTTCCAGGATGCAGCTAACTTCAAAATACATCAAAGCTGAACTCGGACTGTTTGAAGTGAAACAAACGGCAACTGCGCTTCCGTTAAGGTTCTCCCTAAGCGACCGAACAATCCTCCCTACGTCGTTTACTCTGTCCTATTCCAGAAAACACTCCCCAGATTTCTCATTGAGCAAAACAAAGAATTTCAGTCGTACTTAGCAGAAATGTTGATAACCCCCCCCCCAACTGCTTGAGGCAGATTTGGTAGAGAGGAATTTGTGTATTGCTTTTCACAGCAGGAACAAAAGGGTCGGACCGTCGTTTAGTGGGTTTTATAATCACATTCTGCAAGGTCATTGGAAGGAATGAGAATGGCCCCATAGGCAAATACTACCTATAGAGCGGTGATGTTTATGACCTACTTTTAGCCAAGCCAGCCAATCTCATAACATTGCTTAATTTATAGGCTCCCATGAACCACTTTAGGGAAATTAAATTATTATGCAACAGATAACCTTTACAGTTCCCTTCCTGCTGCGTTGTCGGCAACACCTGCAGTGGGCTTCTTTTAAATCAGTGGACACGTCTTTAAAAGTGGCGCAGTGTTAATCATTATATAAGCTGCTGCACACTGAGTGCTATAAATTCAAAGACATCCTCTGACCTGCAAGCACACTGGGCTCCATCTGCAGCAGAGACAACCATCTGGTGGAACTCCGGAGAAGAAGCGCGTTGGTCAGCGAAGGGACAAAGAGCAACCGCTTGTCAATCAAACGTGCCCTCCCTGTGCTGCGGAGTGGCTCCGCAGAGGTGAAGAGAACTGGCGAAACAGGCGGCCATGCCTCTGCGAAATTTGACGTCGTACTCACAATGCTGTGAGTACTCCTTTAACTTTTGTACGATTGTGGCAATTCGCAGCGAGTTGTCTCAAAAGTCAATTCCTATTATGGTTTCCAAGTTGAACCTAGCGACCGATGTAGTCCAGTTCAGTTTATTTTTCAAGCTGGATAAGATCTATCAAAGGAAACCCAGAAGATTGCAACGAGTCACTGATTTGCTTGCATATTTAACTTTTGGTCAGTGACTTTGTCGCATTGAGCATGGATGTAGTGATGACAGAAAGGAAAACACCCTTTTCTTAGGAAGAATCCGCTAGCAGAACTCGGCTAGGTTGAGCCGTCTACCCCTTATGGATTGAGGGTTTGTGAAGACAGAGCATGGAAGCACTGGTCCAGATCCAGAAGTCTTGCTCTCTCCATTCTGG